AAAATCGAGGACATATGGGTGTTAAAATGGGTGAATATATTTTATAAAAAATCTAAACTTTTATAAACATTATATTCTATATAAAGAAAATACTCGTAGACAAGTATTATTTAGTCATAGTACTTAATAGGAAAAATTGGTGCAATGTTTGTTGCTTCTAATTAATCTATAAATTGGTTTGGTAAAAAAAAAATTATAGCATAGATCGGTCTGGATATACTAAATATTATTTAGTAATGATACTTTCTAATTATTTATGGTTCTGTTACTACAAATAATTTTTTATTTCTACATGCTGTTAATGATTTTTATTATTTAAAAATATACATGCATTATAGTTTAAATATTTAACAGTTAAGTATAATATTAATATTATTGGTTAATAATTTCGGTTACTAAATAAATTGCTTTCAGTGATATTATGAAAAATTGTATCAAGAAATTCTGTTTTGTTTCATTATTTTTTTCTAACATGAAAAGTATTAATTTAATTTAGAAATTTAAGTGTTTATTTTTGAAAAGTACTAATGTTTAGTTATTAATTTCAAATCTATTCCACAAACAACAATTTATGAACTGCGTATTCAAATACAGTGCCATCAAAAATTATTTACATATGATTTTGTATAAAAAACGCCATCGATCAAAAAGTAATATTTACACAGAAATACTGAACAAGGACTAAGATTGCTTTTATGATGTTTTTTTATGTTTTGGGTAGGAGATTTTGTAGGGTTGTCTTGGAAATTTTAAAACTTTTTAAAAACTTTCATTCTCAAATATATAAACTGGTCATCTTATCTTTCTTTTTATACACTAATGTTATTAATCAACGGTTTTGTATTTTTTGTTTAAGTTCAGTGAACAAAGTTAATGAAATCAAAATTTAAATACTTTGCCTGACTAGGGATCAGAAGCCATGAACATTGAATTTGACTATGATGAGGAAAGGATAGATGATTGAACCAAAGAAACAACACAAGCCTTCATACTCCTCAACAACCGTCGGAATATATTAGTCAGCAATGTGATATCATCAAGACTGTGAACATTAAATTTGGAGTTTTCACTTCAATTGATTTCTCGAATTTATAGAGTTTATTCTGTTTTTTTTTTTTCTTTAAAATTTTAAGTTGATTATGATACAGCAGATTATATAGTCGTAATAGTGTAGAAGATGACTTTTAGTTTAAAGATTATTATGCCAATGAAGTTATAATGTTAAGTGAATTAAATAATTATAAACATATTAAGAAATGTCATAAAAAGCAAATCTTGTATCAGTTATATATTGTGATAAAAGTTGTTGGCAATAAAATGAAATATTTTGAACGTTTATTATCAGAATTTTTTGTTTTAACCCCACCGCATATTATTTTTTTTATCATTTTCTGATGAGGCCGCTTATGACCATTTATGATAGTATAAGATGCGGCGAAAATTAGTTACTTATTAATGTCTACATTTGTGTGGATATCTATCATTTTTTAATGAATGTAACAGAATGCAAAGTTACAATATACTGACGCAATTTTCGATTTTGGCGCAGGCAAAGAAGTCTAAGAAACTGGAGCGCAAGAACTCTTCTTTAATGATGGAGTTGTCTGACAAAAGCTTTATACCTCCGTCCGTCAGTATAACGCCTATACAATCATCAACGACTAATTTTAATTCTGTTCTGAGCGGAATGGGTTTGGAAAGGAGGCCTGGTATAGAAATCATACCAATCGCGAATTCCCCGGCAGTATCTTTGCCAAGTTCAATAACAATTACGCCTATTTCATCATCTCATGGCCATATTCATGAGGGCGAGCGCAGTAAGGATCGAAGTAGTAGCAATAAGTCAAGATCATCAGAAGAGAAAAAGAAGCGCAGAAAAAGACGTGAAGATAGCAATAGCCCAAAAATGGGGCCACCAGGAGGTAAATTAGATGGGTCGCCTAGTAAACCTCGAAGTTCCGAACATAGCCCCAGTAAACATAGCAGTTCATCTGGAAAACCCAGTATGTCTTCTATGAAATCATCTTCATCTTCATCATCAAATAAACTAAAAGAATCTTCAAAAATTAAGAGTTCTAGTATAAAGCTAAAGCCATTAGATATATCAGTTGAAACTCAACCAAGTGGAGATGAATGCGTCATTTCACCTTCTTCATCTATGTCGGATTCTTCTAAAGGTCAAACTCAAGTACAGGCCCGAAATCGTAAGGGTTCGCTCAGTGCAGTTATCGATAAATTAAAATCAGCTCAATCTTCCGGGGCTGTCGATGTGGACCAAAGATTTCAACAAAGTTCTATTCAAGGGACAGGCAAAAATACAGAGTATATGGTAAAACCCAGTTCAGATGGAATGAAGATTACAATTAATAAAACAAGAACCGGTAAACCACCTTCTGGTTCTAGTTCACCAAAGACTCACACTGGTTTGAAGCCAGGCGTGAATAGTGGACCGGCATCTAAGAAGCCACAGGCATATTCTAACAAAACTCCTATGGGTGGAAGCAGCATTGTTAAATCTGCTAGCGCTTCCGATATAAAGTCCATGAGTGTATCTTCATCATTTTCTAAAACTAATTCTTCTTCAAGTTTATCTCTATCAAACTCAACAAAATCCTCAAAATCTATTATTGGATCTCCTAAATCAAGTTCATCTTCAGATAGCAGTATGAAGTCTTATAATCGTGAAAAACAGAGGTCTACGAAGAGCAATGATAAAAGCATTTTTAAGAGTGGCGAAAGTAAAAGATCAAGTCCTGCGCCTTCAAGGGATGAGCCAGATAACGATCGTTCAATGAAATTATTAGGGCAGTCAGGCTTACCTCCGCAGTTAATGGTAGAAGGCCTAATAAAATCTTTAGATACAAAGTTCCAGATCCCTAAATTATCACAAAGAATTGGTGAAGATGGCAAGAAAAGCTCTCACATAGACAAACCTTCCACTCCTCTACTTTCTCTGAATGAACTAAACGATCGAAGTCCTTTGGATATTAACACAAAACTATTTTCAGATTTTATGGCAAGCAAAGATTTATCAGGAAAATATAATCATCCATCCTTAAAACAGTTAGATAACAAACTTCCAAAACTTCCTAATTGCACGAATGCCTCAGTTTCTTTGACGTTAGCGTCATCAAAATCCTCCAGCGCTATAGAGAATATGAGCTATTCTAAAGAGAGTTCAAAAATGGATTCAAAAGGAATGGAAGGCCGCACGAATTTTTTAAACAGTTTGCATATATCCCCTCTAAGTAAAGATGATAGTCACATTAAAGACTATTGTAAACCGAGCAACAAGCTGCCATCATCATATAATACAGATTTTTCTATGACCAAAACTCCTTCAGATATAAATAAGTTCACCATGAACAAAAATGTAGATGAAGGCAAACGTACTCCAGATGCCTTACTTGACTACTCAAGCAATAAGAATGATTCTTCAGGCTCAGGAAGCATGAACATGATGAATTCTGCTGGAAGCAACAGGTTTTCTTCACCTTCGGTGTCACTTCATTTTGTGAAGTCGCCTGTACCATCACCACTACTTGGGCTCGGAGGTGGAACTCTTACCAGTTCACCACATGTTGAAAATGACGAGTTAATGGACGAAGCTTTAGTAGGCATAGGAAAGTGATATTATCCACGGCCTTGCTCCATATATACATAAGCGCGGGCTGATTGGATCAAGATGGTTTTGCTGATACTCCTGGTGAGCAAGATATCAAGATCATCAGGTGGATTCAACGTGTTTATGGGGTTAGGCCGTTGTGGTAACTATTTTTTCATACATTTCTAATTGCAGTTAAAAAACTTAAAATTAATGATATATGCATTTTAGGAAATGAGTATATCATTGGTGACCGATATCTTTACTAGCCGTTAAGGAACATAAAAATTTTGCAATATCGCATTTTTTTCGCGCGATTTTTAAATTTTTGGAGCTTCGTGTTTTTAAGTTCAGGTGTAAATGTCGGAGTGCTTTTTAATTGAACAGTAAAAATAA